TTGAATCACATAAGATTTGTTTTGGTTATTGCTTTAGCAGCAATTTTCCTTAGGCCTTTTCTTATTACAAGGTAGAGGTTTAGCTGGGTGGGGTCTTGCCCTGAGGTTACCGCTTCCTTCATTCCACTTCCCATCAAGCCTCTCATCTCCTTAGTACAAGCCTTGTCTCCAGTGTTAAATGTCCTGGTGCCCTTTTTCCAAACTGTACATTTTGTGTTTCTTTTTGCCCTAGCTGCTTTTTTTCATGGCAGATCTTCACAGGAGTGATTACTAATAACCAAATGACAGAGTTATTATTAGGCTGTCTTGAAATCTCCTCTGCCAGTGAAATTAATCTAGAACTCTTCAGTTTAGCCTCAAGCAGATTCTTCAGACAAGGGCAAAAAGCAGCCACATTCTTTGGCAAAGTATCACAACTGTTTCTAGCCCTGTTGCTAATATTAGTTTCCCCTCTGAAACTTCTTGAGCAGGGCCTCCAGAGTCCATATTGCTCTTAGCATGACCATCTTCCCAGCTCCAATGGTAATGGCCAATTAAGCCCTGCTTACAGAGTTCAGCTGCTGTCCTAGCCCCAAATACCAAAGCCTTCCACATTCCTCCCCAACACAGATGGTCGGGCCAGTCACAGCAAAGCTACTACTACTACTGTGACCAAACATGAGGACCAAAGCAACTTCTAGAAGAAAGAGTTTATCAGGAATTTACAGTTTCAGAGGGTGAGTCCATGACCATCTCATAGACAAGGAACCTGGCAGCAGCCAGGCAGACATGGTGCTGGAGCATTAGCTGAGAGCTACATCTTGAACCACAAGAAGGAGGCAAAAAGTGAGAGATAACTGGGAATGATGTGGGCCTTTGAACTCTCAAAGCACACCCCCAGTGATGGCCTCCAGCCTATGGGGCCCAGGAAGTGGAATGTGGTCGTTTGAATGGCTCCCATAGGCTCTCGTGTTTCAATGCATGGTCTCCGGTTGGTAAAACTGTCTGGGAAGGATTAGGAGGTATGGTCTTAATGGAATAGGTGTGTCACTAAGGGTGAGCTTTGAGATTTCAAAAGCCAGACACAGTCCCAATTTTCTTTCTCTCTGCCTCATGATGTCTCAATATGTGAGCCCAATCTTGTAGCAGGCCTTGGCAGCTAGTCAGAAATGCAGATCTGGGGCCATATCTCGGATCTATCGTGGCTCCAGAAGATGCTCCAGCACACCAAGATGTCTTCCGAAGGATCCAATTGGCCAGTCTGGTGTCACCGGTGATGATGAAACCAAAGAAAGCAGACTCCTGCTGTATCTGCCATTGATTAGCTCAAACTTTCTTGTAGCAGGTTTTCTTAACTAGGAGAGATCTGAGAAGCAGTATCTGGGATAATGCTTTCCAAATCACACTCAGTGGAGCACGAGGCTTCAGTCCTTCAGGGCCTCCTGGGAATAGGGATTGTGTAAGGCTACCCAGCAGAGCTGGGCCTCCGGGCTACAAATCCACTTCAAACAGAGCTCCTATGCTTTGATCAGCTTTAGGAACTGGGATTACAGTTTGATTTCCTCTGAGAAGAAGATATATCTGCACTGCTTTTGCTGATCAGTCAACCTGTGTTATTCCACATTGTCCATCAGTCACATGAGCATGGTCCTCAAATTGCCCCAGTCATGAGCTTGGGGAATGAACCTGCTTCTATTTTCTAAACACTTGCCTTGGAGTACAGATGTGACCTTTAAAATGCCAAACCCTCTGTTCCCAAGAGGACGGCTCAGTTACTTTCCTATCTTATTTTAACATGTAATATCCAAGAAAGACACTAATGTGGAAAATTCTGAATTTGGCATATATACCACCCTTGGTTTGCCCTCTAGCAAAAGCTCTGTGTACCCTTTTTTTCTTACAAAACAGTCTCACCAGGCAATGGGAATTTGATGCTTAAGGTCAATACCAGCAGTCCAGTTTTACCCCTAGACTAAGCATTTGGGAGTCATCTTTAGTGATCAGCATTGCCTTGTGACTACTGTTATAGTCTCTCAGAATTTGCTTAAGAAGGATGCTACATGAGGATCAGGAAAAAAAAATGCATCTCATTTTACTACAGGAGGGGATCCCTCTCACCAGCAGGGGAGCTTCAGGCAAGCTACTTACTGGACACCTGTGTACAGTTAGTTTCCAGGAATGAGAATCTCTAAAGTCCCGACATTGTAGAGATAACAGTATGACAAATACAAAGAAAGTGTCAGAGACAAACAGATGCTTTTACCAAATGGAAGGCAAGTGTGACTGTTAAGTGTAGACACAGCCTCTCTGAGATGATGCTAGCTCTGCTCTAGGTTCGTTCTTAGCTTAGCAAGAGGCACCTGGGAAGGCCTGTGGGGAGATGGCTCAGCAGGAAAGATGAATACTATGAAAGTGTGAGGGATGGAGTTCATATCCCCAGCACCTGGGTAAATGCTGGGCAGGTGTGGTGGCCCATTTGGAAGCTCAGCATTTGGGAGGCTAAGGCAGGGGAACTCCAGAGTAAGAGAAAGAGCTAGATCAGCTGATTGGTTGATCTCTGGGTTCAAATGAGGATCACTGTCTCAATATGCAAGATGGAGAATGAGCTAAGAGATATCAACCATCAGTTTCTGATCTCTGGATATATGTGCACATTGGCATAAATACACCACACACATGAACATGCATACATGAACTCTCTCTCTCTCTCTCTCTCTCTCTCTCTCTCTGTCTCTCTCTCTCTCTCTCTCTCTCTCTTCAAAAATAAAGAAGAGGAAGGAGGAAAGAAGGAAGAAGCCATTTGTCCTAAAAGCTCAGGGTAGCTAAAGAAAAGCGAAGAGGGACACCTGTGGAAATAAATGAGGCCCTGTCAAGAGTCAAGGACTATATTGGGTAGGTCTTCATAAGCCATGAAAAAAGATGCAGGAAGCAATAACTTTTCAAATAAGCTTCACCCTGGGAAAATGTCTGCACAAAAGACCATGCCATTCCCATAAGCAGTGGCCAATGTTCTAAAAGAGTGCTTTCCAATTTTATATTTCACTTTAGTTTTATAGGAGTGGCAGAGTTGATAGTTTTCCTTGGAGACACAAGAATTGCTTTGGGAATGGGTAGAGTTGTGTGAAGTGTATCACCTCTCTCTCTTCCTCTCCCTTTCTATCTGAACCTCTTACACTATAATGTAACCGCTGCTCACAGTGAGCAATCTTTCCCTACAAGATGGGACTACAACCAACAGTGCCTAAGCCAACCTTATGAACACTTAGGCAGGGGGTGGGGTTTGGGTGGGGGCTCATTCACCCTAACCTTCAGCTCAAATCTCAAGCATCTCTACTCTATGAAGGCAACAACTCAAACACAATGCAACCAAAATCCAACTTGTCTTTGTCTATAAACAAGTTAGATTCTTCTCCATTGTCCATGTTAGCAGGTATCAATATGGCACCACATTGGTATAGGCTACCTGTCTAGTCAGTAACCATCAGACATCTGAATGAACAAGTTAATAAATTAAAGTTCTGGAACCAAATGAAAGCGGGAATAAGCCAGGGAGGAGGGCTGGAAAGTCATGTGCCAGGGAAGGATGCCTTAAGCACTTCTGGGCCTATTTCAAGGGGGCAGCCCTCAACCTCACCTGCGCTATCATCTGGGGGTCGTGCAAGAGCACACAGATTCTCCTTCACTCCTGATGTGGTTTGATGGGATACAGTCCAGGTGTCTAGGTTATTTGAAGATTTCCCTATGGATTGTCTTCTGTATCCCAGTTGAAAGCAACTATCCAGGAGTTACTGAAATTGAGGCCATCATTGTGTGGGCCTCTTGCAATTTCGTGTGTGTGTGTGTGTGTGTGTGTGTGTGTGTGTGTGTGTGTGTGTATACAAGTGTGCATTTATATGTGTGTATGTACATTGTGGCAGTCAGAGGACAACCTTAGGTATTATTCCTCAAGTATTACCCATTTTGTAAGAAAAAGGCTCTCTCACTGGCCTCGAGCTCGCCAACAAGGCTAGTCTAGCTCACCAGCAAGTCCCAGGGACTCATCTGGCTTTGCCTCTCCAGCACCGAGTTTCTTTAGTCAATGACTTCAGTCAAACTCTAGAGCCACCAGGAAATGCTACTCACAGAAGAAATCCCCAAAATAGCTGATCTAAAGAGAGAGTTAATTGCTGATACTTATCTTAAGCATCAAATTCCCACTGACTATGGGAATACCATGGTTTTAAAGAAAAAGTATATTGAACACAGGGGACTACTGTGTCTCAACAACCTCCCCCCTGCCTCCTGAACCTGTGAATTGTCAGGGAACTTCCTCGCCCTCTTAGGACAGAGTTTCAGATTAGACACAGGTTATTTTTGTCCAACAGATAAACTTCATTCACTAGATACTGCCTCATTTATTTTTCTACTGTTGTTTTTATTTATTAGGCCAGAAGTGTTCTGTGAGCATAAAACAGATGCTTTTAGTTCCAATGAAGAAAGAAACATCAAAATATGTGCCCTGACCTCTGAGCACCTGCAGGTGGTACAGTCATGGATGCAGCTTTTCCCTGTGCTGTGCCTTTCTAGACCAAACGTGGGCAAACTTGTAATCTCTCTTTGTTGATCTGTAAAATAGTCATCATGGTAGTCTCTGCCTCCAAAAGATTTAATAAAAGTTAAATAAAATGTTAAGTCAGGTTGTAGTTGCTTAAGGAAGACTTTTCTCATGAGCTTGTTCAGTTATATGCATTGACAAGTGGGATCACGGTGTTCCTCTCCATTAAGTCCTTTCCAGGACATAGTCAGATGGCAGGAAAGCTGACGCATCCGAGGGCTTCTCCACTAGAAATCCTGGTAGCTGGGCCGAGATGGTGTGGTAGTTTATGTAATTGGCTCCCATAATCCCAAAGAGAGTGGTGCTATTAGGAAGTGTGGCCTTGTTGAAGTAGGCGTGGCCTTGCTGAAGGAAATGTGTCACTGTGGGGTTGGGCTTTGAGGTCTCCTTTGCTCAAGCTTTGTTTTCCTGTTGTCTTCTAATCCAGATGTAGCCTGCGCCATGTCTGCCGCAGAATGCCCCTGTGCTCCCCACCATGATGATAATGGATTGAACTTCTGAAACTGTAAGCTAGCCCCAATTAAATGTTTTCCTTTATAAGAGGTGCTGTGGTCATAGTGTCTCTTCACATCAATAGAAACCCTAACTAAGACAGATGGCTAGAGCAGGTGGATCGTGGTTGGTTAGGTCTGTCTGCTGTCTGTGGCTAATGTGGGCTTTCCCAAAGCATGGGATGCTTCCAGTTGTTGAACTTCCCACTTGGAAGCTAGTCTCACCCTTGAATGAGGACTCTAAGGGAGAGGAAGTAGACATTTAAGTGTATTAAGGCCTGGACCTACAAATAGGTTCAATATCACGTTCTGCTTATTTTCCTGCTCAAAGCAGTTCCAGTACCTTGCAGACATAAGAGTGTCATAGTTAGGGTTTCTACTGCTGTGGTAAAACACCATGACAAAAAAGGAAGTTGTGGGGGAAAGGGTTGATTTGGCTTACACTTCCATCATCATTGTGGTGGTTTGAATAGAAATGGTCACATAGACTCATATATTTGAATGCTTGGTCATTAGGGACTAGGAGGTGTGACCTTGTTGGAGGAAGTGTGTTCCTATGGGTGGGCTTTGGGGTTTCAGATGCTCAAGTCAGGTCCAGGCCCAGTCTCTCTCTCTCTGTCTCTCTCTCTCTGTCTCTCTCTCTCTGTCTCTCTCTCTCTCTCTCTCTCTCTCTCTCTCTCTCTCTCTC